ATTGCTACTTGTTCTAATACAATTCTAATCACTTTCTCTCACCTCACTGCATGGAAGGGAAGTTCTTGCTGTGCAATGCGTAGACGAGGACCTCTTACAAGACTTACGTAGCGAACATCTCGATGTTGAGAACTGCACACTTGTACACTACTGGTAACGTATACGTCTGGTCTAGGTAATTTGCACCTTGTAATCTGTGATTATGATTCTGCTTATGCGATCTAAAGCTACAAAGGTAATTCCAGGCCTTCTGTAGGCCAGCATTAGCAAGCCATTTCCACGTTCAGATAAAGCGGTCGGTCGAGGCCAGTAGTGACACTACGCTTCCGCCTCGAGGGTCTTCATCTGGGCGGTAAAGGTCTTCCGCGTCCACTCCACATAGGCCTTCCACTTGTGGTGGTCACCTGCAACCTCGGCACTGGGGAACGCCTTGCTCAACTCGCGGCTGATTTTGAGCACGCCTAGCGAGGCCTCCTGCGCCTTCTCGAGCTCTTGCTTGACGGCGTTCTCCTTGGGCTTGAAGGACAGGATAGCCGTGTAGCGTTCCGAGAGCGCATCGAGGCGGCGCTGGGTCTCCTCGGGCGCGATATGGATGAGCTTCGAGGTCATCAGGTTGGAGATGGTGCGGATGTCCTGCTCGTCATCGATGCCGGCGAGGATGCGGTCGAAGAATTCGCCAATGTGGTGCAGGGTGAATGTTGTGTCGAGGGAAGCGTAGAGCGTCTCATAGGCGGACTTTTTTTTTAAAGAGAAAAGCTGTCAGTTTCGGTCTGGCTCATGGGAAAGGGGTGGGGTGGAGAGAGAGAGAGAGAGAGGTATGAAAGGGGCTGTATGCGGTTTACCTTGCGGAGTTCCAGACCGTCGTCGACGCGATGCTTGAAGGGGCCCATTTGCACCTCACGGATGAGTTCAGGCTTGAGTTTGGCGTCCTCGAAGACGGCGGGGAGGAGTTCATTGAGGTGGGGAAGGAGGATGTCCATCTTGTTGTGGATGGCGGAGTTCAATGTTGTCAGAGCGAGACGATGGTTGCCCAGGTCTGGGTCACTGAGCATGTTGACGAGAAGAGGGACGATGGTAGGTCGGAGGACATCGTTGTAGGTATCTCTGGAGTCGGAGAGAGTGTAACGGAAGGCAGAGATGACAACACCACGGATACTGGCGTCTGAGTTGGAGAAATGGTCCTATGTTCATCGTTAGGTCCTGCCACATTCCGATTTGATGCGGGAAAGTTTAATAGCGGGAGGTTACCTGGAACAGAGGGATGTAGGCACTGGGATCGATAAGGGCCAGGCGACCAACACATTCCGCGCCAACAGCACGGTTGTCTTCCACCTCGGAGACCACCAGCAGTGCCTGCCAGAGCTTGGCCGCGGAAGGAGCTAGGTCAGGTCTGACGATCTCAGGATGTTGTAACAATTCTTTCACCGAATGAAGCAACAGGTAGCTCTGCGGGTCGCTCTTTTTCAACCCACCCAGGATGTTAGGTAGGTATGCTTTCACATCGCCCGCCGCCGCATTTCCCAGAGCTGCAGCCGCAGCCAAGCGGACCTTGTCTGACTTGGAATTGAAGTGGCCGATGAAGAGTTCTGGAGTTAGCGAACAGCTAGCGCCCATTCGAAGACCAATTTCGCCCAAAATAGCGAGCGCAAGGCACTTTCGCTGAGCGTCCGGTGCGGTGTGTAATTCGGTCATGAAGTCCTCCATCTTGACACCCAAGTTAGACCCGCCATGCACGAGAAGCGTCCCAATGGCTCGCCCGACAACAGAGGTGTCACCGTTAATGCCAACATCCCGCAAAAGTTTCTTCATCAATGCTGCTCCTGCGCCTGCCTCACCGATGACTTTCACCACCAGAAGCATGGCCTTAAGTACTGTTCCGACGAGGGGCGAAAGGACAACGGAACAGAGTGCAGAAACCAGATTGTCATTGACCAAGAGCTCGGCGTTGCCAGGTATAAGTTTCCCGAGAATAATAAGTGAGGGAGCGAGGAAATGGAAGTCCTCGGCGCTTATGAGTGGCAGAAGACAGTCTTCCAGCTCCTTCATGGTGCTAGCGTCATAATGGCCCTTTGTGTTAGGATTCATGGCCAGGCTGCGCAGAGCCTCCAGACTGGCTCCCCGAAGAACGCGATCCGACTTCCGCAGCTGTGCTCCGAGCTCTGCTGTGACTTCGCCGACCCACGATGCAGTAACGTCTGCGTCACGAGCGCAAAGAATGGCAACATCATCGACTGCCCGAACTGCTGCAAGGCGTGTGGTCTCATTTCGAAGGCGATCAACCAAAACTGCGAGGCCTTTCGAACGACGGTCAAGGGAGATAAATGTCGAACCATTTTCGCCGGAGGTACGTGCCAGGAGCACGCCAAAGACGTGAATCGCACGTTGCCGAACCTCGAGATCAGCGCTGGTATCAGTGATACGTGCAAGGACCACATCGTACAATCGTTCCAGCTGAGTTGCGAGATCCTGGGTTGTGCTGGCAACTCGAGGAGGCGTAAGTGCTTTCACAATCTGTTCCACGGCACCCAGTGCCTCACTGCTGACTTTGTAGTTACGATCATTGACAGCGCCAATAACACCAGGAATCAGGGCGATCAAGAAAGGCAGAAGAGCACCCGACGTGTGTGTTTCGGCAATTGCGGAGATGAGACCGAGGGTTTCCGTCTGAAGAGTACCGGTACTCGCAGAGACCCCAAGCGAAGTGGAGGAGGTGCTAGAAATAGAAGATTTGAGGACATCGGCTATAGGATCTTCGATCTGTTGAAGGTGATCAGTCAAGCCGCCGTAGCGGACCAGTGCTAAGCTTCTGAGTAAGACGATAATCGCCTGCTTCAGGGGCACGGAAGCTTGTTTCCACATCTTGACAACGCTCTGCACAATCGTAGGTACGGAGCGAGATAATTCTGCCTGCGCACCAGACTTAGGGGAAGCCGGAGTCAGAATAGGTGTGCTGACAGCGGAGGAGGTGCCAATGCCTGGCTCAAAGTCAATCATGCTTGCATCGCTATCCTGGCGTCTGCGCTTCCTAGAATTCTTCGAGCCACCCACAGCCTCAAGGAAGCCATTGGAGGTTATGATCATGGAGCCTTCACCAGTCTTTCGGATGAGAGCAGTCATAGTAGAAACGACTTCCAGCTTCACACTCTCCTCTCTCTCCTTGTTGAATCGCGCGATCAGAGCGGGGGAAATTTGTTGATATAAGGATGCCTCATCTAGCGCGCGGCTATGGCCGAAGGTCGAGATAACGCTGTACAGCAACTTGGCGGCACATCGGCGGACTTTCCAACTCATATCATCAATGTCACTGTATCCTCCTTCTTCCTCAAAGTCCTCAGACTCATCGTCATCCAGATCAGGGTCCTCCGTTACGTCATCTTCGGAGCCGTCGTCCTGAGTGCCACTCATTTCCTCATCTTCCATTTCTGCCACGTTGGGGTCGTATTTGAGGTAGCGTAGGGCGGCCTTGATGGCGAAAGGCATGTAGGGCTGCATTTGGGGACCGCAAGCACTGATCAGCGTTTCCAGCGTGACCAAAGCGGTCTCCCGGAGCTCATCGGCCTGAGGATCGTGCTCGTCATCATCATGAGAGTAAGTCGACATTGTGCTGGTAAGACAAAGAGCGACCGACGATCGAAAAGGCAGGCTCTATGAGGTGGGCAGATTGTAGCCAAGCTAGGGTGCGGAGAAAAGCTGCAAGAAAGTAACGGAAACAAAGGAAGGAGCTGGTGGAGGTCAAAAGCAGCGGCTTTCTGTTTGGAGCTTCCAGCCAGCTGATAAGTCAAGTTACGAGGGGAACGCTGGAACCACCGACCGACAAGCCGAGGAACCCCGCGCTAGCCCCAAAGTGTGCCGGAGACACTCCCCGATCTTCCGCATCGGTCACGTGATATATAACAATCATGTGATCTTCACTGCTGCAAGAAATCGAAGAGATCGAGGGAAGAGGTCGGGCGAGATTGTTGCTTCGAGGCCATTAGTGCCTGCAAACCACCTTGTTTGCGAGACTTGGCTCTTTTCTTGCTACTGGCATTTTCCGCGGATCTAACAGCCTTATCTGGATCCGCGAGTGCAGGGGCTGGCTGTCCGGGCAAAGGCCTCGTAGACGTTGAGGATTGAGGTGCAACTGCATTCGGTACCGTAGTCACCGGAACTACTGGAGCATTGGAGCGAATAGATTCTTTTTTGGAGGGTTTGACGGTGCGTCGACGGCAGCGAAGACAGATCAGAACCGTAGCCCCCTCAGCACTCAAGCCTGCAAGCTTCTTCTTCCTCTTAGAGACCTGGACAGTCCTGGTCGACTTGGAGTTTCGGAGGCTCCCACATGCTCCACAAGCAAATTCTTGCTGTCGCTGATTTAAGGGCTTGAACTCGTCGCGAATGATGTTATGGTGAACGGACATCAGATGGGCCGCGGTCGATGGGCTTGCGGCCTCTAAAAAGCTTGCTGAGCTCTTCAGATATTCCAGCCTAGGTGCATGATCACTGAGTGGCATAGTTTTATCTGGAAAGACGTTGCCTAAGCAATGGACAAGAAATACAAATTCAGGTGAATGGAAAGGGCGAATTGATAGAGGGTCAGTTGTGAATTGGGAATTGATTAAAATGTTGCTCCCCCAGAAAAAGAGGAATTGGCGGGTGCAAAGCAAGCAAATCAAATACCCGCGCTCGCTCTGCCAGTCCGTTGGTTGTGTTACTTCTTTGGTACTTCCAATACTTCCAGTTGTTCCACCCTCCCTCTCTCGACTTTCTTTGCTCTCCCTCAATTCTCGTGCTCGCCCACTCGCTTTCTTTGTTTTGTATTTTTCTTTCACCTTCTCGACACCGGTCTCTCACTTCCTAGCTACTGGTCTCTCTCAATCTTACTTAGAAGAAGACAAGTCTTCAAAAATTCTTTCTGACAACGAGCTGCGGGTGTTCGCTTGTTGGATTCTTCGCTTCTTTTCCGCCTGCCTCCAGATCTACTTGGCTCCTTTGCCATAAGTAGGCTATCCTCCAGTGAGATGGAAGCCCAACAAACCTCTAGTCCTGCTTCTGTCAGGGTCGCTTTTGAAGGCTGTGTAAGTGGTCTATTGCATGGTCCGAGCGCTACTTTTTGAGGCTGCGATATTAATAAACATGCAGGGACATGGCTGCCTCAACGACATATACGCATCAGTTGAGAACGCCGCCACCTTGAAAGGATGGGATGGCGTTGACGTGGTCATCATAGGTGGCGATTTCCAGGTGAGTCTTCCGCGATCGCCTCGCTTGGTCTCAGTAACAATCCTTTCCTCAACTGAATCTATAGGCCGTCCGCAATGCCAACGATCTTGCCTGCATGTCTGTACCTCAGAAGTACAGAGAGTTGGGCGATTTTCACGAATACTACAGTGGAAAACGCACCGCACCCTATCTGACTATTTTCATCGGAGGTAACCATGAGGCTGGCAATCATCTCTTCGAACTTTACTACGGAGGGTGGGTTGCCCCGAATATTTACTACTTGGGTGCAGCGAACGTTCTTCGGTTCGGCCCCCTCCGCATCGCTGGCATGTCTGGTATCTGGAAGGGCTATGACTACAGAAAGCCGCATTCGGAGAGATTGCCTTACAATCGAGACGATGTTTCAGGCATCTACCACGTGAGAGAGCTTGATGTTCGGAAGCTACTTCAGGTTCGTACCCAGGTTGACCTGGGCTTATCTCACGATTGGCCTAAGCAGGTTGAACTCTGCGGAGATTCCGAGTATCTCTTCAACACAAAGAGAGGCTTCCGTGAAGACTCTCAAAGTGGTAAACTGGGCAACCCTGCGGCCAAGTACGTCCTTGACCGTCTACGTCCGGCCCATTGGTTCTCCGCCCATTTGCATGTGAAGTTTGCCGCCATAGTCGCTCATGGAGATTATGTCACCCCTGAACATCCGGCTGCTAAAAGGAAAGCTGAAGCTCCTCTACCCGATCCTCTTCCCGCCCCGGGTGCTCCGCACCATTTCGGCTTGGACGGTGCTCTCCTCACGGCCCTTGCGCTTCCCGATGATAATCCCGAGGCCGAGCGTACTCTCCCAGCTCGACCTGCCGCGGATCAGGAGCCTGCAGACAACCACGAGAGTGCGGAAACAGCAAGCCAACCCTCGGCTGTCGACAAAGTAGACGAAGCCCGATCTGAGAAGGACATCCCCAACGAACCCAGTGATGACAAGAGTAAGATTTCAGCATGGAATAATTTCCACACCGTGGCTGCTGAAGCTGAGGCGGCTGAGAACTCTCGATTTCTGGCAGATCAATCCCTTCAGTATGCAGCTCTAAAACCGAGCGTTTCGCACGATCTGACATGGAAAAGAATCGAGACGGGCGAGGACGGATCCGGTCGTGTCTACACCGGCATCGAACGCGATAGCGCCAATAAGAAATTGAAGACCGAACACAAACCCGATGTCGTGAAGAACTCCGACGAGATCGACCTCGACCTGGACAGTGACTCCGATGCGGAAACGACTCCTCACAAAATCTCTACTCCCGTGACCGGACAGACCGACGAGCCCTCTTCTAATAAGGCAGTCCCCAGCGATGACTCAAAGACTACTACGCAGGCTGACCCGGTTTCGTCGGCTAGTGGAACTGACATTCCTGAAGATATTCGCAATCAACTTCCTGCCAGCTTCGCCCGCCCTAAGCCCGAACCTTACCCGTTGAACGGACCGTTGCCTGATGCTATCTTAAACAAGACCACTAACTTCCTGGCACTTGACAAATGTCTTCCTCAGCGCCACTTCCTACAGCTGCTTGAGATCGAAGCTATCTCCGATCAAGAAGGCATCAGTGCCGAACGCCCTTATCGCTTGCAGTACGACAAAGAATGGCTAGCAATTACCCGTGTCTTCGCTGACGACCTTCAACTCGGAGACCCCGCCGCGAAGCCTCCGGCTGACAAGGGCGATCAGGTATATAAGCCGCTGATCGAGGAGGAGGAGAAATGGGTGGATGAGCACGTGGTGCAGACTGGAAAGCTGGATGTCCCCGAGAATTTCACCCTAACCGCCCCAGTCTACGATCCAACTGTCCCGCTTAACACGGAGGAACAACCCATCGAGTACACTAACCCGCAAACCGCGCAGTTCTGCGAGCTGATAGGGATCGAGAACAAGTTTCATATGAGTGACGAGGAACGCCAAGCTCGCATGGCCGCAGGCCCTCGGCCCAGTGAGTTTAGACCACGCGATCGAGGCCCACGTCGTGGGGGCTTTGGTCGGGGCCGCGGCGGGGGTGGTGGCGGCGGCAGATATCGTGGCGGCGGCGGCCGGGGAGGCGGAGGTGGGCGTGGGCGTGGTGGTGGTGGCCGCGGATTTCAGTACTGAAACTTACGACTTCCTGTTCTCCATTTACTCAGGGTTACAAGGACAATCTCGTTTGTGATGCTATTGTCTTTCGGTATAGGGTGCCGTGCAGAGGAAGGCGTACTGGAAGGAAGGGTTCTGCTTGACTTGCGTTCTAATGGTTGCTCAATGATTTCTATGGTGTGATGCGTTTGACTTAATAGCTGGGGTCGACGGGACAGCTCTTCGTTTTCACTTTGTCGTTTCGTGTGTAATCTGAAAATAATGCTTGTCACTGGACAAACAGATAATGGCCATATTCTGCTTTTATGGGGCAATCAACTCTCATCAGATGCATCTGCACTCCATCATACTATCTTCGATTGACTTTCTGATCCGGAGAACATAGAACTAGATGGGTACACAGCCTTAAAGCATGAAAGACCACAAACCACAAGCCGTCCAAGAATCGAATCCAACGTCAGCCCAAACAGCACAGCAAAGTATCCCATCACCTACTCAATCTCCTCAATCCTCGGCCGCAGACTCGCCTCCCTATTCCCAGCCAAAGGATCAATCCTCAGCCCGGCAATCCGATCTCCCAACTCCATCCTCGAGCCTCCATTCTCAGCAGCAGCAGCAGCACTCCTCGACACCGCCCCAATCCCCCACATCAAAGCCTTCTCCAACCATGCCTCCAGACTCTCAACCACGACGCGCACATGGCCCCTGACAATGGGATCCGTCTCCCCGCTCTCCACAAACGCGAGGGTCCGCAGCATCCGCGGGATATTCCCTATCACGGTCGTCGAGGAGGATGCCTCAATCGCAGCAGCAGAATTCTGCTCGGCTAAGGAGAACCCAAACCCCAGTGCATCGGCGCCTTTCTCCTCGCGCACGGTGTCCATGGCCTTCAGCACATCCGACAGGAGCACCGCGCTGGCGCGGCGCAGGATCGCGCTCTCGGGCTCGGGCTCCATCGTCAACGTGGCCAGCGCGAGGTCGACTGCGGCGCTGAGGATCGATGGCCCCAACCCCAAGATGTTGGTGCGGATGGCGGTGGCGAGGATGGAGAGGGCTGACGCGCGCACGCGGAGATCGTCCGGTTCGGCGTCGGATTTCGAGCCCGCCGACCAGGCGGCGATGATGTTTTCGTAGTGCGCGAGTTGGTCGGGGTTGAGTTTCTCGTCGTCGTCGTCGTTGTTTTCGTCAGCAAGAGGGTTGGTGGCGGTGTCGGTGGTGGTGGTTTGGGATGATGGCCCCAAGGACCACCCGGACGGCATGATGATTTCCTTGGCTTCGCGCTCCTGTTTACGGGCCTCGCGCTCCTTCTTGCGCTGTTCTGCGGCGAGACGTTCGCGACGGGCTTTCTGGGCCTCGGGCTTGTGAGCGCGGCGGCCGGCGACGGTGAGCATCCCTTCGCCGAGGAGGCGGGCGGGTTCGCCGGTGAGGGCTTCGTCGAGGTCCTGGACGGTGCGCAGGAGGGCCTCGCCAATTTTCAGGCGCTGGTCGACGTGCCCGCCGCTGGCTTCAGGGCGGTCGATGTAGCGGTCGACCAGGGTCTTGAGGACGGTGCGTGGGTGGCGCGAGGCGAGGGTGCCGATGAGGTTGATGGCGTTGAGGTAGACGAATTCGTCGTTCGTGAGCGGCTCGTCTGAGGGGTCGGTGAGGATGGAGAGGAGGAGGGTAAGCGTGGAGGGGATGTCGAGGACCGGGGAGGATTTCTTGATCAGGGTGGAGAGGAGGGAGAAGCCCTCGGCTTGAATGGGGGCGAGGTCGGAGTTGAGGTTGGTTAGTGCGCGGCGGTGGGTTTCGAAGTCGGAGATCTCGGAGGAGGTTTTCGCGGTACTGGTGCTATCGCTGGACTGCTCGCTGAGTTGGATCTCGGCGAGCATGGAGGCGGTTGTGCCGGCTTTGGATAGCAAGGGAGGGAGGTAGGGGATGAGTTCGTCGAGTTTGGATTTGATGCTTTCGAGCACTGGTACTGTCTCTGGGGAGGTGGTGAATTCGGGAGATGCGAGGACTGTCGACAACAGACTAAATACGGCCGGCAAGGATTCAGTCAAATCCGATTGCGGGTCTGCTTCTTGTCCGGCTTCTTCGGTGTTGACAATGCTGGCTAGAGACGAAAGAGACATTTTCCCGGATGCCTGATCGGTTCTCTTCTTCTTTCGAGTATATGCTCCGTGTAGCTCGCCGTCGATGATCTGTTTGATGAGTTCGAGCACCCTGAGAGGACGACGAGATAGTGTATCCTTGAAATTATCCAGCAGTGTCTCAGCCAGCTTAGCACTAACCAGCTTGTGAATTAAGTTGCTGGAGCCTTCGTCCTCTTGTGTAAGTCTCATGCTGGTGAGGATCTCTGATTCATTCGAGGGCCTCACGAGCCAACGCTCGCTGACATAGAGGAAAATATCGCCCGTCCTTTCCTCGCTATTAGGATCGGCACCTAAGACACTTAGGAACAGCTTTGCCCGCGACTGCAGGTTGTCCACGAGCCGGATAATGTTAAGGCCTGTTTCTGCCGAATCACGCTTGACTAGCGCTACAGACTTTTGAGATTGTATTCCATAGGTCCAGGCAGGCCCGCCATCCCAGAGCAGGTTATCGACTAGCTTCTTCAATGGCTCTAGTCCGCCTGACAGACCAAAGTATGCTTGTAAGATAGTTAGCACCTTTTCGTGCAGCACTGTCGCTTGATGTTCTAATGCATAGCAAGCCAGGCCCCAGAGGGGAAGAAGGACCGGGTGGACGATTCTCTTGACGAGGCCTGGATTCGGAGGCTGGAGGACTAGACTGGTCAGTCTGTCAATTGCCAGCATCAATAGTACCTCATCCACCAACACCTGTCCTGATGACGTTTGACACTCGTCTCTGCTAGTCAGCCATAGCCTTGAAGATGAGCTGAGGCTGGCGGTGAGCGCCTCAAAGATAGGTACCAAGAAGATGGAATGGCCTATCGTTCCACGAGACCCATACGATCGCTTCGATAGGATACCATTACCGACGACATATGCTGCGGTCTTCCGCAGATCCGGGTCTTCGCCATCTATCAGATTCAACAGCTGTGGAGCGATCGCAGTAAAGTACTCATCCGTATCCATTCCTTGTGGTACAGATGACAGTAGGCGGGAAGTTTGCATAATTGCTTGTACAGTGAAATGAGGACCATTGGACACTTGAGTCTGTGGCTCGACCCCAAGGGAGGGTGCAAGCTGAGAAGCTAGAAACATCATGGTCTGTAAGACCCCGTCTGGCCGGAGGGGGATTCGAGATAAGAAACCAGAGACAACTGATTTGAACCATGGGGCTGGCTCCGATTGAAGAAACGGCGAGAGGGTAGAAAGGACTACCGTGCTGGGGGTTCTGCCGTGGCTTAGTAGATGTAAATATACGCTCCTGGCAGTAGCTTACTCTTCGATCAGCTTGGTAAGGCCATGACGATAATGTAACTTTTGGTCATCGAGCAACCCTATCGAGTTGTAACCTAGATCCGAAAGCCCACTGATCATATCACTTAAAATACGACCACGGACTACAGGTTGGATGCTCGGTCGTGTGTCAAATACTATATCTGTAAGTGCTATTATGATCTTCTCGAGAAGGGTTTCGTCCTGCGGCCTCTCGTGCGCAGGAGCTTGCTCTTGCTGGGCGATGACGCCTGCGGGCAAGACCGATATGACTCTTTTCTGAAGCGGGATCGCAACTCCCCGCGAAAGCGAGGGGTAGATACCCTCTAGAGAGATCAAGTCCAGCAGCGCATGGAGGAGCCGCCGTCGCTTGGCATCTTCGAGTGCAGCATCCTCTGCGTCTGCCGAACGATGGCGGAGGGCCTCGTTCTCGGCATCGCTCAGTGGTGTCACAAAGGCGGTATGAACGGAGCTTAGGATCTCCAAGGCCTTGCCAATGACAGTCCTTCGTTTAGGCACGTCTTCTCCACATGTCTCAGAGCTGTTGCTGCCTAGCAGAATGTCCAGGAGGGACTTTCCGCGATGTTTTTGGATTTCCTCTTCACACTGGGTTAGCCTCGACATCAACGGCACGGAAGGCTGTCAGGTCTGCGTGCCTCTTTGGAGAACAGGATCCAGAAACCTGGTGGCAGCCGCAAAGGCTTCCTTCACCCGCGAAGATTCTCCCATGGTTCTGAAGACGGGAGAACTGGGGTTGACTGTATTATCATCTCATGGAATTGTTCTTTCTGCCTACCTCATGAGCGAGTGAACCGATGGAGAGATTATCTAAGCAGGCAGGGCGTGACGAGCGGCTTCCGCGTGCTTCCCTGATTAACTGGATCCGGTTAGAGGCCGCCACTGGCGGGTTCCAGATTAATTCTTCACAACCCAAACTACATTCACCCTGCAATGATTTTCAGGGACTGTACGGAGGCTGTACTGTATATACTGCCGGCGCAAGTCTTCTTTCTTCTCCTCTTCTCTTCTTCTCTTCTTGCCTGGGAGAATCAACTCCGGGCCAGTTACTCAGCAGCGCTTGGGTCAGAGTAAGGATTCAAACGGCTTAATTAAGGAAAGGGAAATCTTCATATCAAGTCACTCCTCCGTCTAGCGGTATTTCGTTCCTGTGTTTTGAGAAGGAAAAAGGAGTCAACTCCACTGTCACCGGCTAGTACGTGAACCATATGCCGACAGGACCACACTGGTATAGCCGAGCTTTTACCAAGAGCGCTAGGTCGAAGCTTGTAAAATTGCTTAATCAGTGGTCAGTGGACTGCGACTAGAACCCTGACTAGACCCAACCAGGCTGAACCAGGTTGAACCAACCCAAGGCCAGGGAATATTCAGGCGAGCCGAAGGCGCCATCAGGACCCTGAAACGCAAGCCATTGGACCACCACAGGTAAGACAAGCGGTTTGTGGCTGGACTTGTACCGAAGAATACCCCTTTACTGGTCTGCACTGCAATTGATATCAGGGTCGAGTGATTGCAAGGGGGTTCAGCTATGCCGTTAAAGCTTAGCCTTGACTTCATGTAGAGTGAGCACGCGGAGCGAGAGGTATTCGCAGTTGACAAAAGGGGTACAAGATATGGAGCAGCACTGTGATAAGGCTCACCCAGCAGGACCATATAAGACGTCAACATGGCGCTCGATCCTTCACTCCTTCTCTCAATCACTCTCTACCCCTGTCGTTCCTTTCGCTTTCTTTTCTTATAGAAACACTTTCCTTAAACCACCATGCCTTCCTTCGCTTCTCTTGTGGCCTACAGCCTGGCTGCTGGGGCTACTCTTGTGTCCGCTTCCCCCATAGAGGCTCGCGGCAGTTGCACTTTCACCACCGCTGCTGCTGCGAAGGCGGGTAAGGCCAGCTGCTCGACCATTGTCCTCGACAACATTGCTGTTCCTGCCGGAACCACGCTGGACTTGACCGGCCTCAAGAGCGGCACTCATGTCACCTTCGAGGGCACCACCACTTTTGGCTATGAGGAATGGGCGGGTCCCTTGATCTCAATGAGTGGCACGGACATCACCGTTACCGGAGCCTCCGGTCATCTCATCAACTGCGATGGCTCCCGCTGGTGGGATGGCAAGGGAACGAGCGGAAAGACCAAGCCCAAGTTCTTCTACGCCCACGGGCTGGATTCCTCCTCCATCACTGGACTCGAGATCAAGAATACCCCTCTCATGGCCTTCAGTATCGAGGCAAACGATATCACCCTCACCGATATTACCATCAACAACGCTGATGGCGACAGCCTTGGTGGCCACAACACCGACGCATTCGACGTGGGCAACTCGGTTGGCGTGAACATCATCAAGCCCTGGGTCCACAATCAGGACGACTGTCTCGCAATCAACTCCGGCGAAGTATATGAGCCCCTTTCTCCGGCCCCCTTTCTGATCAAGGCAGTTACTAATCTATGGTCTAATGCTTAGAATATCTACTTCACCGGCGGAACTTGCATCGGCGGCCACGGCCTCTCTATCGGCTCCGTGGGTGGCCGTTCCGACAACACCGTCAAGAACGTCACGATCGAGCACTCCACCGTGTCCAACTCTGAGAATGCCGTCCGCATCAAGACCATCTCCGGCGCCACGGGCTCTGTTTCCGACGTCAAATACACGAACATCGTCATGTCCGGTATCACCGACTACGGAGTGGTCATCCAGCAGGACTACGAGGATGGCAAGCCCACCGGTAAGCCTACCAACGGTGTGTCGGTCACGGATATCACACTGGATGGCGTGACCGGTAGTGTTGCCAGCGGTGCCACGGAGGTCTACCTCCTGTGTGGCAGCGGTAGCTGCAAGGATTGGACCTGGACTGATGTCAAGGTTACTGGCGGCAAGAAGTCCAGTGCTTGCAAGAACTATCCCTCTGTTGCGTCTTGTTAAGTTAGGGAGCTTCGTTGGCCTAGTCTGGGGGCTACTTGCTTAGTACACTCCTTTTCCAGTGACTCACTGAGTCTCATCTGTATTTCAAGCCATGTCAGTCATCTACTGTACATACCCCTTTTAAGTCACCTATCTTCTATAATCATATAATCACAGTATATACTCCGTTTCCTATCAATAACTGAGTGTAGAATTTCAGTAAATTTCCCATCTTTCCCAGTCAAACCCAAGGCCAGGATGTTGCCACAACACTGACATAATAGATAATAAGCACCTTCTGAGCAGTTTACGGACTCGACGATCCACAAGATGTGTACTCAGACCAGACTTTGGCTAAGCATTATCCCCAAGACGCAGACCATACATGTGGCTCATGACTGACCGCAAAAAGTCCCCGCCGGACTACGCGGCACAGGCTACACCAGCAACCTGAAGGATCACAGAATAGATTAATTGTCTCACTCCGACAGAAGAATGTCGCTGAAACCTGAAGTATATAGTATCATGCGGCACTAAGGGCTACGCTTCCTAAATCAGCGCCAGCGCTAGTCTCAGCTTAGTGCCGAAAACCAAAGTTATTTAGAGTGTGCCGAGCCCATTTTGAGTAGGATCGTGTCGATCATGTTCACTCCATGCAAACCTACATTTACGTACACTATGACCCAGAGCGATCCTGCTGATATGGAACGATGGCTCCGTCAGTCAAGGTAGGCCGCGTAGATCACCATTTTGGGAAGATCGGTATAGCTGCACCCCGATGATACAGCCCTTCCGATCGTGAAGCCCGTCCTCGAGAACGGATCATTGGACGATGAGGCATGATTTCCAGGGTAGAGCAGCGGTGTACGGTATAGTTTGTTGCCCAATGCTTCACAATGAGGAACGGATAGTACGTACTCGACCATGCTCTTTCCTTTACAGCTCAGCTCAACCTACAATATAAAAAGAGCAAGACAAACCCCCCTCCTCTCATCCTGTCCCACCAGCATCCCTCAATCGCCTCACCTCTTACAACCTACCGCTTCTTCCTCTCCACCAAAAGACCAAACACCTTCGAGCAAAAGCACAATGGTCCAACTCCTCACCCTTGGCCTCCTCCTCCTCGGCGCCCTCGCCACCACCACCCAAGCATGCACCTACTGCCAATGCGAATTCGCCAACAGCGAGCATTGCTGCGTGTACTCGGTGAGATCCCCAACGCCCACAGCATGTCACACCAATGAGGGCTTGCTTATCGCTAACGCTACTCGGGCATCCGTGTCCAGGACGCAAGCGCCGGAGAGCTGGACTGCGCGTCCATCTGCGCCAACGCTCATCGCGCGGATGGGGTCAGCAACTCGGATGGAACAGCCGGCACCGCTTGCAATGCTGGGGGGAAGTATGAGTGTATTAGTGCGTTCACGGCGCAGGATCGGACGCCTTGTTATACGGAGTAGATTTTGAGCGAGCCGGGGGGAAGGGGTTGGCGGTTGGTGGTTGGGTTGTGGAGGCGTCTTGGGGATTGGGATAGTTGGAATACCTATTAGTAGATGGGGGATGTCAATCGGAGCTTAGACTCGTTTGTTATTGGTAGGAGGTATCAAGAGTACAATTGTGCACTGGGTGAATGTTGCTTTGGGAGGTTGCAAGGGTTGTTTCTGGCTATCCTGTGGAGCGGTTTGAGAAGTAGGGGATAACTCATTCTTCTTTCGGGACAGTTTATGGGCATTAGAATCACTAGATATGGCTTGATAACCGTACGGTGGAGACAGTATACGAAAGGTATCCGGTCTGACTTCTAACGAAAAGTACACATTGGGTGGTGCGAAAGACGGCAATTGATAGGTAGTATGATCTATCATACAGGTGGTGAGAAAGGCATCACTTAATAGGTAGTAGTAGTTTCTAATATATAAGGGGGGTATCTCTATCTTCCGGTGCTTATAGCTATCTACAATATCTGCAGCGGAACAGTCAACGACACTCTGCTTCTCCCCCACGCACCCGGGGCCCGATAACAGATGTCGACCCTCAAGGCATACACCCGGGAGATGAAGCAGTGGCTGAATGTTGGGGGGTAGTCGAAATCACCGGGAAGCTCCACGGGCACCTGGATTGTGGATCTGAAGCTCGGCGAGGTCTCATCATCTGTGTTCTTCGGCTGCCACTTCAGAGGGCCGGGCTGCATATCTGCTAACGACACCGGGTATGTATAATGGTTCTGGTGGCGGCCCCAAGTTACTGGATTGGTCAAGTCGGGAAAGTCTGACCAAGGCTTTGAGCCGAAGAGGGTGATCGCTTGGAGTTTGACTTTGATTGCTGACAGTTTGGGCGGAGGAGCACCGGATAGGGCTCTGTAATGCAGGTCAATGGGCACCATCCTGACAGGAGCCTTTCCTGGTGCTATCGCTGTGGTTTGAACTGCTTGGGCTGACAGAACACCCTGGAGTGCTCTGGGAAAACCCCTTGTGATTGCAACTTCTCGCCGCAGGTAATAGAATTTGCTTTCCCGTGGCACGAGGACCGGTGCTCGCTCCACGCGCAACGGACGAATGTTTATCGGGTGCTCCCATTCCGCAATGGGGGCTGTTGTCCCAGCTTTGGAAGACCTCTTGCTTATTCGGAGAGATATGTGGTAAACAATGGATGCTGTTTCAGGTGCCATATCATCCTTGCCGTGTAATGGCTTCTTCCGGTGGCCTAGTGTTCCAAGACTCGGAGGAAGGGAGAGATGTTCTTCATGTACTTGCTCATGACGACAACTATGCTGGCAGGCTTGAAGTGGTAGCGCGCAAGGAACCACAAACTCAAAGCGTAGACAATACTCGACTTCGGCGTCAAGGTTTTCCGCTCGTTCGGAGGGATCATCAAGTGGCTGGCTCATGCGCAGAAAAGTGGTTGATGCTATTGGTTGTGGTAACGGCACTGCGTTCTCACTAAGGTCCACCTGTACATTCACCTTGCCTGCCGAACTGTTAGTGAAGATTGCTTGTCAAGATAGACAATGTACAGTACCTTCAAATGTAAGATCGAACTGCAGTGGAGAAGAACTTCTATGGCTTGTGACCAAAACACAACCTCTGATTGTCTCCCCAACGCTGAAGGGCTGGGAAGGGGTCTCCAAGTGAAACTGAACACGGAAGTTGGACTTATAAAGCATTGTATCGTTTCAGGCTAGTTAGTATCTCAGGAAATCCTGGCATGATGATTTTGCCTGGATATATTCAATGTTTTATTGTCTGGTTCATCGAATGCTCGGCATATTCATTGAACTTGCCGAACCAAAATCCAAATCATATTGCTCGGCTTGATTGAAATCAGTGGACATTTTGATGATGACATGTACCACAGTGGCAAGTTATTGTCAGAGATTAAAGTAGCCTTGACTCCTTGATAAATCTGTCGCGAGGAGTAATATGAACTTGCTGTAGATCTCAGCTGGGGTCGGCTGGTTGCGGATATGCCGATGCTGAGTAAGGCATGCAGTCATCGAATCTCCTGTCGGCCAAAGATCAACTCGCCGACTATCCGCCACAACTCGCTCACTTCACAATTGATATTCACACTGGGTCATTGAAGCAATCCTAGTATCCATGCCTGTCGTCAAGAACACACCGAAAAGGCTCAACAAAAAACCTGTAGCGTATGTCCTGGAATTCCCCGAACGCAGGTGCGGTGTTTGACCTGATCTGTTTGGCACAGCTGTAATCGCTGTCACTCTCTCAAAGTTAAATGCTCAGGTGAACAGCCTTGCTCAAGATGTCGGCAAGCTGGGTGTGGGGAATCCTGTCAGTATGCCGTCCGCGATAGAAAGCTCAAAGTCCAGGAAAGGTACCTTACCTCTTTCTCTTCCCCCACTTCTTGACTCTCCCCGCTTTAATTACATCTGATCCTCAACCACCCTGGCCAGTTACATTGATGAGATCCTCTCCGAGAATTCTCAGTTGAAAGAGCAACTACGCGCTCTCAGCACACCTCATAGCGATCCCTCCAGCTCTGTACAACTCCCTGTGCCGTCGTCTGATACCTACCCTTCAGTCCAGAACCCACTCATCGGAGATCGCGCCTGGTTCTATCCATACGACTCATCCGCCCCTCCCATCTATATGGGAGAAGCAGCATGCACAGCATTCTCGACGCGATTGCGTCAATTTCTTACAGGAGACCCAAAAACAGCTCACGTCGCGCGAACTCAGTATACGCCTGAGTCTTCCCTACTCGAAGGCGCAAGTCAGTGGCCTAGACTTGCCCAGGCTCGTCTTCTGGTCCGCATCGCCTTCAACCAATTGAGTCGGGTCTACCATCTAGTCCTCCGTAAATCGACCCTCGAGCAGCTGGAGTCTGTCTACCAGACCCCTTCACTGCGAGATGATCCCGCCTTAACATGTAAGTTCTTCGGGCTCTTTGCGCTGGGTGAAGTATATTCCTCCCGGTCAAGTGTATCGCCCACCAGCAAAGTTCCAGGAACGAAATACTACGTTCGAGCAATGAGTCTTATACCCACCATGCCGGAGCGGCCAGGGATGATATATGTGGAGAGTCTATTGTTGTTGGTAGGAGGTCTCTTACATTGCTTGTGCGAATGACAATCTCACTGGTTACTAGTCTTTATACTCCTACTTCCTCAACCGAAGGCATTCTGGGTACATGTTGATAGGCAGCGCGATGCGTTTAGGTCTAGTTCTTGGACTCAACCATAATATCCCCCTACAACAGTGTGCGAATGCTATAGAACGTGAACACCGAGTACGACTTTGGTGGGCGATCTACGTGTTTGATCGGATGTTTACATCCAAGATCGGGTTTCCATTGCAGATCCGCGACGAAGACATCCATGTCGACTTGCCAGCAGAGCTGGCTGATCCCACTGCTCAGGAGCAGTTCTCAGATACCGCATACCTAGTGGCTAGCATTCGACTGTCTCGCATTATAGGACAGACGATAGACAAGATTTATGGCAGGAAGCACCACATAGAGCCATTCATGCAGCGAGAGCAGCAGTTACTACTTGCTCTACAAGATTGGCTGAAATCGCTCCCAGAACATGTACGGTTACGTCAGGAGGACAGCGCACCTCCCAAGCACATTGTCTCCCTGCATCTACAATTCAATCAGGTAAGCATCTACCTTTTTTTGAAATGAAACAAATCACACTTTCTCATCAGAGGCATCAGTGTGTCATCCTAGCTACCCGTCCAATTCTACTTCACACTCTTTTCCAAAGTGGCCATCGAAGACCCTCTGAAGACTTTCCACAGCCCGTGATTACAATCAGCGAAGCATGCATTCACGCTGCGCGGCACTCATACTCTTTGATCATTGAGGAATGGGTTAATGGCTCCTTGCCAATGTATGGCTACTTCTATGCCCAGTATTTGTTCTCCTCATGCATCGCGTTGGTGATCTCCGGGCTCCTCCCCTCTATAGGGAACCCTGCGGATCTAGAGGCCTTGGAAACGGCAACCGAGATCTTACACCGAATGAGCGACCAAGGCAATCTCGCCGCTTCAGAATTCCATGAAAACCTTAAACGCGTTAAGCAGGCGTTACCTGCCAATTCGGACGATGCACGCGCGGGACAAGAACCCCGTAGCCATACACCAAGACTGTCTATTCCATCAGTCCAAGCTCTAGTCGCAGACCCGGAACTAGAGAGTCATAATGAAGGAGTGTTGCCCCCCGCAAATTATACTACGGAAATGGCATTCCTGGAACCAACGATGCAGGACTTCCTTGGCACGTCGGATTACGATATGAATCTTGTCAACCCAAATGATCTGCAGATAGACGGCACAGAAGACTTCGACATGTGGCCTGGAATTCTGTGGACTTCCTGAGATAATGTCTACCTAATTATCGGACGCTTTGCTTATTGAGAGGTACTACCACCGCGTATGCTAAAGCAACGACATCATCCGCTGATGGCTTGTTTCCGGCTTGTTTCCTTTTGACCCAGCCTGAACTGAAATACAAGGACAAAAAAGCGAGAAGAAAGAGGATTCAAGACAACCATCTGTTGTAACAGTCTCGACGACCAGTGCCCATCGGGCAGTGCCGCGCCCGTTTCAAGGTATAGTTATAGTGCACAGACAAGATCAGCTCTCGCGATACCTATTCTGATCAGCAAGGATTCGGTGTGTCTGACTGCAGGCGTAAGTCAGCCCTAATCAATGACATATCAGACGCGAAGACGTTATCTTCAACCCCGCATCTGATACAAGCTGGGCACCGATCGACAATAAGCAAATACAGAGAGGGTAGGGGTTTCTCCCCCACAATCTTCATTGCTTTGTACAGTCCTCTCCGTCTCAGATTCTCATTCATTTCTTTATCTATCTATATGTCATCATGGCACTGCGTTTGCCTCCAAAATACGTTTTCGCATCGGTCCTTGTCGCCCTTGGTGGTTTCTCCAACGGCTATGACACGGGCTCGATTGGCGCGCTGCTTTCCATGGCACAATTCAGCCAATCGATAGGCCCACTGTCCCCGTTCCTGTTGGGATTTGTGGTCGCGCTCATGATGCTGGCGGGTGTCCTTCCATCTCTTATAGCCGGTCATATGGCGGACCGATCGGGTCGACTGCGAATAATCTTGCTCGGTGCGGCGTTGTTTGCGGTCGGGTCACTTCTTCAGGGCATGGCACCACGGCTGGCGCTCTTCATGGCCGGCCGAGCACTAGCTGGGGCCGGTCAAGGCATCTTTCTCGGACCCATGAGCGTCTACATATGTGAGATCGCCCCCTTTCAATTCCGCGGCGCTCTCGCGGGACTACCGCAGTTTTTTGCCGTAACGGGCATCTGTGCTGGCTACTTCACCTGCTACGCTACCGTTGCTATTCCTTCTAGTATAGCCTGGCGATCACCGCTGCTTGCTCAATGCTTTTTTGCCTCTTGCCTGATTATCAGCTGCCTTACTCTACCCGAGTCCCCCCGCTGGCTAATCCTCCACGGCCGACGAGCTGAGGCTCGACGCTCCTTGCAGCGTCTACAGTTTCCTTTGGACGAAGTCGAAAGCAGCTTCACTGCTACCGAGCACTTCTCCAATCTGTCGCCCTGGCAGAGTTTCGTGCTGCTGTTCTCTCGGGCGTATCGACCACGCACTGTGTTGGGACTATTTGTCCTGGGAATGGTACAGCTTTCGGGAATAGACGGGGTTCTGTATGTGAGTACTCGGTCTCTTCAATAGAGACAGATCTATGCGCTTCCCTTGCAGCCACGTAAGTGACTAACAAGAACCCAGTACGCGCCCACCTTGTTCGCCCAGGCCGGCCTATCTTCCTCGACCGCGTCATTTCTAGCCTCCGGGGTATCTGCGATCCTTATGCTGGCCGTCTCTATTCCTGCCTTCCTGCTGGCAGATCGCTGGGGTCGTCGTACA